GGAAGAAGGTATTTATCTAAAATTGATTCTTCTACCATTTTTTAAAAAAATATTACTGAGACTTCATTGGTCAAAGGATTTTTTTTTTTTTTTTTAACAATAAAGGTATCTATTTTAAGGGTACAATTCGATGAGTTTTATCTGGGAGTGGTGGTGCAAGCCTCTAGTCCCAGCTGCTTGGGAGGCTGAAGCAGGAGGATTGCCTTGAGCTTAGGAGTTGGAGACCAGCCTTGACAACAACGTAGCAAGACCTCATCTCTAAAAAAGTAAAAAACAATTTAATGAGTTTTGACAAATGTATACATGTATAACCACCACCACAAAGTATGATGGTATGATTCTCATCATACCAAAATATTCCTTTGTGCCCCTTCACCATCAGTCCTCACCCTTATCCCCAGCAACCATCAACTTGTTTTCTGTTACTAGAGATTTGTCTTCTAGAGTTGTGTTGTCTAATAGCATATAGCCACTAGCCACATGTGGCTTTTTAAAGCTAATTAAAATTAAATAAAACTTAAAATTAAGTTCTTTAGTTGCATTAGTCACATATCAAATGCTTAACAGCCACATGTGGTTAGTGGCTACCCTATTGGCTAGCATAAACATGAAACATTGCCATCATCACAGAAAGTTCTGGTCTCTTTTCTGTTCCATTAAGGTATTTGTCTATCCTTACTCCCATACTACACTGTCTTGATAACTGTAGCTTTGTAGTAAGTCCTGACATCAGCTGCTAGTAAGTGCTCCAACTATGTTCTCCTTTGTCAAAATTCTTTTGGCGATTTTAGTCCTTTGCATTTCTACATATATTTGAAAATTGACTTGTCAATTTCTACAGAAAAAAAATTTGATAGAATTTTGACTAGGATTTGATTGGGATTTATAGATCCATCAAAACTGTTATGTTAGCAGTACTGATTCTCCTAATACATGTACATGGTATATATACTCATTTCAGTATTAAATGGTATTTAATGAAGAGGTCATACACATATTTTGTTAAATTTATCCTTAAGTATTTCATGCTTTTCAATGTCATTGTTCATAATAATTTTTTTTTTTTTTTTGAGACAGAGTCACTCTGTTGCCCTGCGTAGAGTGCCGTGGCGTCAGCCTAGCTCACAGCAACCTCAAACTCCTGGGCTCAAGCAATCCTTCTGCCTCAGCCTCCCGAGTAGCTGGGACTACAGGCATGCGCCACCATGCCCGGCTAATTTTTTCTATATATTTTTAGTTGTCCGATTAATTTCTTTCTATTTTTAGTAGAGACGAGGTCTCGCTCTTGCTCAGGCTGGTCTCGAACTCCTGAGCTCAAACAATCCGCCCGCCTCAGCCTCCCAGAGTGCTAGGATTACAGGCGTGAGTCACTGCGCCTGGCCAGAATTTTTAAAATTTTAATTTCCAATTGCTTGTTGCTAATATATGGACCTATAATTTACTTTTTGACATTATCTTGTTCATTTTTGACTCCATTATATTTTATATCATTTTAAGACTGTTGTGATCAATATAGTAACCACTAGTTCCATGTGGTATTGAACACTTGAAATGTGGTTAATCCTTTTTGAGGTGGGCTATAGATATATAAAATACAGAAGAAAAGTATGTGAAATATTTCATTAGTAGTTTGAAATTGATTATATGTTGAAATAATATGTTGGATCTATTTAGTTAAATAACTATTAAAATTAATTTCACTTATTTCTCTTCTATAATGTGGAAACAACTTTTTTTTTTTGGTGCCATGACTCAGATATCAGCCGAGAAACAATATTTTAAAGTACATATTTTGTATTCATGGCTATATTATATCTCTTTTGGATGGTGCTATTCTAAAATGTTACTAACTTCAGGCTGGGCATGGTAGCTCACACCTGTAATCCCAGCACTTTGGGAGGCTAAGGTGGGTGAATTGCTTGAGTGAGACCCTGTCTCTACAAAAAAATTTTTTAAAAAATTAGACTGGCATGGTGGCCTATAGTCCCAGCTACTCAGGAGGCTGAGGCAGGACGATCATTTGAGCCCAGGAGTTGGAGGTTACAGTTAGCTATGATTGGGCCACTGCACTCCAGCCTGAGTGACAGAGCAAGACCCTATCTCCAAAAAAAAAAGTTACTAAAAAAAGTTATTTATTTGTAGATGAAGAAAAAACGCCAGAACAAATCATGCAAGACAAGGAAATCGAAGCGTATGTCATATTTTTAAATTTTATTTGTGGTCTTTATTAATATTTAATCATATTTTCTATGTAACACTGTCTTTTTCTTTTCTATTATTTTTCCAAATCATTTGTCATGCATGTATTGGGGAAGTCGTTGATTTGGGGTGGAGACTTACATGTACATGAGTGATCCCACTAGAACTTTCTGGCACCCCCCTTTACAAGATACTGAGCAAACTAGCTCAGGAGGCATGTTTACCAAGTGTGTAAATATATGTCAGTATGTTGCAGAGTGGCCTGAGGAGAAATGCAGACACTTGTAGAATACTTTTATGTAGATGTATTTTAATTATTTTCAAAGGCTTACTTTTATATATTTATTTCAATAATGAGTTTTTCTGATATTGCTGAAATTCTTTTGTTCATGCTTCTTTGATAGTAAAATTGAAGACCTGGAAAATGAAATTGAAGAGGTAAAAATTGCTTTTGAAATGAAAAATCTTGCATTAGACAGGTAATTATTACATTTTAAATATAAGAATTATGAACTGAATGCAAAATGGGTCTGGGCAAGGTGGAGAGAATTTTTTTAACTAGTCTAAATGTATTAGTCAAATGAAATAATGATTAATGGTCACACAAATTTTGAGCCATGAGAGAACAGTTATATTACAGATGTTCTTCAACTTATGCTGGGATGATGTCCCTATAAACCCATCATAAATTGAACATATCATAAGTCCAAAATGCATTTAATACACCTAACCAGAAACAAAAAAGAAAAAAATTGAAAAAATGAAAAAAAATAGGAAAAAGAAAAAAACAAACCAAAAAAAAATACACCTAACCTACCAAACATCATAGCTTAGCCTAGCCTGCCTTAAGCGTGCTCAGAATACTTAACATTAGCCTACAGTTGGGCAAAATTATCTCACACAAAGGCTATTTTATAATGAAGTGTTGAGTATCTCATGTGATGTATTGAATACTGTACTGAAAATGAAAAACAAACTGGTTGTATGGCTACTCAAAGTATAGTTTCTACTGAATGTGTATCACTTTTGCACTATAGTAAAATAGAACCATCATAAATCAGAGACTATAATCATTAATATTTTCATTTAGATAAGTTACATAGGACAGAGTTAATAAGGAAACTTTAATCAAGACAGTAGAAGTGTGAGGTTAAATCCCATTTGGTGTTTGAGAGAATTACATGGATTCATTTATACCAATAACTGTTAACCTGGTAAAAGAATTGTCATTGCGTTTAAATATATTTTTAGTTACAGGTTTCACATTTGTATTTTATAATGCATTCAACAAATATTTGAGTACTTACTGTATTCTAATCCTTGTGCTAAGTGCTGGTTTATAGCTATTAATAAGACGAACCTTGTCTCTTCTGGACATGTGATTTGAATAGTTAAAGCTGTTTCATTTGCTTCTAGCGGTAAGCTTTTTCCTCTCATCTCATATGCTGACTCATTATTTTGATCATATTTTTTAATTAAGCTGACTTTAGAGCTATTAAGATATTTCCTTTTAATGAATCAAATTTTTTATGCATGGCAGAAAGGAAGAAATAACTGTTATTGCTGAGTTAATTACCTTTTTATTATTACTTATTAGCCATTTGAATTTAAAGTAATTTATAACAGGATGTTTTGAAGTTTACAGTCAAGTATGGTTTTGGATTCCCTAAGTCTTTCCATTTCAGGCCATGCTGATCTCTTCAGTGTCTTAATGCTTCCCCTAGCCCTGCATCAAGGTGGATGGCTTAGAAAGCTCGCCCAGCGCCGGGCTAGGTTTCAGGTCCACTTGCCCTCTCATCCTGGCAGTGTACAACCATGTGCAACAGTCATATCCATCTTGGTGTTGCTTCATATTTCTATGATGTATTTTTCAAAGTGTTTCCTGTACAGTACTGTTTAAAAACGTACTTGCATTATACTTAAAGGAAAATCGATCTTTAACTTGTCATGTTTAAAATTCTTTTTAATGTACCATAAATGTTATCCATGTTTTATAATGCAAGCTTTCCCTCTCATAGGATGCGGCTTTCAACTGTACTTAAAAAAAACCTGGAGAAAATTAACATCAAGACTAGGTATGATATTTTTCCCCAAGATTTGGTAAGGATGGGAATAAGAAAGGAGATCTGTATAATGACTTCAGTTTTCTGAAACTTTTTTAACTGTTAATGCCAACCACCTTTATCTGGGAATAAGAAAAGTGATGAAATTTTTGTAGGCTCTCCTCAGAATTATAACAGC